CGGCGAGGATGCCAAGTCCGGTGGGGAAAGGGAGACAGCTAGTCCTGGTGGCCAGGAGCTCTTGGCCAGCATGGCCGCAGCACCCAGGCCTTCACCGCCAGGCTTTAGCTCCAGGCCCCGGGACTGCACGTAGTTGACAAAGCCGTTGAGAGGGGCTGAGGCCGGGGTGCCTCCGTCCTTGGCCCGCAGGCTGTGGGCGTCGATGACGGTGGAGTAGAGGTCACGCAGGTTGATGATCTTGGTCTTCTTGTCGCGGTTCTCATGCAATACCGCATTGGCGCAGATGAAGAGGAAGATGCCGATACCCATGATGAGTGGGCCCAGCACCTTCAACTTGTCTGAATGCAAGTAGCTCGAGAAAAGGCGGAAAAGGAAAACCACTGAGGCCTGGGGGGACGAGGAAGCGGGGGGGGGCTGTGACTCCCGGGCAGTAGCAGTGGTGGAGGTGTTGGCTCTGGGTGGTGACTCTGGACGGATCCCTGCTTGTGCCCCTTCCTGGCTCCGGGAGCGGTTCTTCAGGGTGCTGCCCTGTGGTGCCACATGCCGGCCCCGGCTGAAGCCGCCTTCTCTGTACACCTGGCTGGGCTTCGGCCAGTAGCCCACCACGGCCAAGGCGATGCCCACCAGAAGTACCAGGATGCCACAGAGCGCGATGAGCCCCGAGAGGGAGCACAGCTTGAGCTTGCCTTTCACCACTACCACGTCGTTCTTCCGCTTCTTTTTGGCCTTGCGTTTGCGTTTGGGGACTTGGCTTTGGGGTCGCGAGGGGTCCTGTTTCCTGGCTGAGATCCTCAGGAGGCCTCCAGTGGCGATCATGGCTGGCTACCCAGAGCACTGCCTCCTACGGCCACACCAGCTCCTGCAGTGAAAGGGAGAAGAGAAGAGGGTGACAACTAGGAGCAGCACAAGAGCTGTCTCTGCTGCTCCCCATTCACACTGCTGCTGATTAAAAGCCTCAACAAGTGGGAAGCGCGTTGGCACCAGCAGGCTGATCTCCCTTGGCCACACAGCTCCAGTATGCGAGAAAGAGACAGGCAGACTGACAGCACCGAAGCAGCCATGTGCCCCATTACACTCCCGCCAAACAGCTAATTAATTTCTTTACGCTCCAGGTAAATGATAGAGGGAGTGGTATCTGCTGGTGTAAAAGAAAAAAAAAAAGACCATGCTGGTCTCAGCAGGAGCTTGCAAAGCCCTGGAGCTGGCAAATCACCGGAGCTCAGAGGATGCTGAGCCCCAGTCCCCAACAGGGTCTGGGGTTACACTGCACACTGACTGCAGTTCGTGGTATCACGCAGGATTTGAGGGGATGGGGGAAACAAAGCAGGAAGGCAGTACATTTGATCAGAAGATACCATTTGTTTATTTACACTACTTACACATTACTGG